TGGAGTGCAGTGGCACAATCTCGGCTCACTGCAATCTCCACCTCCCAAGTTCAAGCGATTCTCCTGCCTCAACCTCCCAAGTAGAAGGGATTACAGGTGTCCGCCACCATGCCTGGCTAATTTTTGTATTTTTAGAAGAGATGGGGTTTCACCATGTTGGCCAGGCTGGTCTCAAACTCCTGAGCTCAAGCAATTCACCTGCCTCGGCCTTCCAAAGTGCTGGGATTATAGGTATGAGCTACCACACCTGGCCTTTGCTTGTTTTTCTATAGATTGGATAATATAATAGAAGCTGGTTGGCTTTGTCCCAAGGATACCCACCTTTACATAGAGCCTCAGAAAGATAATTTTTTTCTTTCTTTCTTTTTTTCTCAAATAGAGATGAGGTCTTGCAATGTTGCCCAGGCTGGTCTCGAACTCCTGGCTTCAAGCAGCCCTTCTACCTTGGCCTTTCAAAGTGCTGGGATTATTAAGTGTAAACGACACTGCACCCAGCCAGATAATTTTCTGATGCTGTCCTCACTCTTTGTCCCTAAAGGAGAAATATACTTTGTATATATTTTTTAAAGCAAAAAATAGAAACTTTACACATAATATATGAATAGAATAATTAATTTTAAGATGATTAAGGTTACAAGGTTTTAGTTCATTGATGAAACCTCAGAATTTATAGTTTAGAAACTATGACCTGGTAGATTGGTAGAAAATCTGATTATTGAATTTTTTAGTAAGTTTAGATTACATGCGTATCTTAAGTAAAATGTGAAGTATTTTGAATTTTTTTTTTGGGGGGACTGGGTTTCACTCTATTGCCCATGCTGGAGTGTGCAGTGGCGCAATCTCCTGGGCTCAAGCAATCCTGTCACCTCAGCCCCTCAAGTAGCTGGGACCAGAAGCACACGTCACCACGCCTGGCTTATTTTTGTATTTTTAGTATAGATGGGGTTTTGCCATGTTGCCCAGGCTGCTCTCAAACTCCTGGGCTCAAGCAATCTGCCCACCTTGGCCTTCCAAAGTGTTAGGATTATAGGCATGAGCCACTGCACCCAGCCAGAAATATTTTAAATTCTTCAGGTAGCTTGTTTCCATCACTCTTGTTATATGTTCAGCGTTATCACTCCTTTTTGCTTGTCATATTGTCACCTCTTGTGGTTCCTCTTTTATTGCTGTTTGGTATTATAAATGGCCTAAGTATGGTTAAGCTTTAAAACAAATAACAATTCTACCTTTTTCCCAGATTATTTTAATTTGTTTATTTATTTATTTATTTATTTTTGATACAGGGTATCACTCTGTTGTCCAGCCTGGAGTGCAGTGACTTGATCCGAGCTCACTGTAGCCTTGACCTCCTGGGCTCAAGCCATCCTCCCACCTCAGCAGGGACTATAGGGACTTGCCATCACACCTGGCCAGTTTTTAAAAAACAATTTTATGTAGAGATAGAGTCTTGCTATGTTGTCAGGTTGGTCTTGAACTCCTGGGTTCAAAGAATCCTCCTACCTCAGCTATTGTAATTTTTAAATTTAGGAATTTTCAGTCATTTTATTGCCTTTGTATAGGAAGTTATTTTTCAGACATCAGCATTTTTGTAGCAAACAAAATTATTTTGTTACATCACAGTGTTGACAAATTGCCACTTTAAGAATATTTATTATCATCTTAGGTTAGAATTAAAATAGCATATTTTTAGGAAAGTTCTTTTGGTCTGATAGTTTAGAGCAGATCCAAATATGAAATGTGAGTAATAATATAATTCTTATACAGTTATTTTGGAGTAAATATATTTGTGAAAAACTTAAAAAATAATTGTGAATTCCAAGATTTTCTGTTAATCTGAATTTACAGCTTGTTTGTACACTGTAGTTTCTGCCCATTGAGGAGAATATGTTTTGAGGACGATGTTCACAGCATCACACAGTGTCCCTTTTATGAGGACCCATGGGAGAAGTTTCTCTCAGGTCTCAGTACCAGAAAAATCTGTATTTCTCCTGAGCAACTGGTTTGTTTTTATTTTATGGACACTGAGAATCTTTGTTGTCCCCTTTGCTTTGGCCATTAAGAGTCTCAGAACTAAATTTGTGGCCTGCCTTTTGCAATTGTACAGGATTTTGTGGCATGCATTGATATCTAATACTACTAGTCTTATCTTGTATTTTATCTTTATTTTCTCTGACTTCATTTATTTATATCCTGTTTATGTATGTGTGTGTATATATATACCTCTATATCTTCATCCTTTTAATGATTCAATGTGTTAGATATGCATGTGTGACAGTATGCATATATATATTTACATACACATGCCCACACATACATGTATATGTGGGATTGTGTGTGTGTGTGTGTGTGTGTGTGTGTGTGTATATTTTTGAGCAACTTCAAATACTTGGCAAAAAATGGGATATAAATAAATAGTGCAAGAGTACTCATATTACTAATTTCAGCCTTTAATCAGTAAAGAAAGTCTGTGATTGCTTTTCATCAGCAGTTTAGCAACAAGTTAACCGTGCCTTTGATGAGCGTTTCTAGTATTATGCATTTCATCTTGAAGATGATTTTTGTGTTTTTGTTTTAGAAAAGGGAGACCCTTATGTTTGAAAAAGATTGTGCCACTAAACTAAAGGAAAAGCAACTCTTTAAGATCTTTCCAGCCATTAACCAAAATTTTCTGGTGGACATTTTCAAGGACCACAAGTGAGTGCTAGAAGGATTGTCTGTAGTTTCTACTGTGATATCACTGAAAGCATATGCCATGTTTATTTTTCTGATAACAAAAATAATACAGGTCTACAGTAGTCTCTCCTAATCTGTGGGTATTATTCCAAGACCCACAGTGGATGCATGAAACCATGAATATAACTGAACCCTACATATACCCTATATATACTATGTTTTTTTCCTGTAAATAAGAATTGATTTACAAATTAGGCACAGTAAAAATTTAACAACTATAGCTAACAATAAAATAGAACAGTTATAACAATATACTGTAATGTAAGTTATATAAACATGGTCTCTTTCTCTGTGTCTCAAAATACAGTTGTCCTTCAGTATCTATGGGAGATTGGTTGCAGGACAGAAAATCTTTGCCTTTATTGTTTCTGAGTTTTATGTTTTATTTAGGGAGTCTGTTATGTCCCAGTATTATAAAAATTCTTCTTTATTATTTTAAATGTCTACCTTTTTATGTGTGTGGTATGAGGTAGAGATTTATAAATGAGCTAGAGATTTAACTTGTTTTTCCAAAACAAGTTAAATTTAACTTGTTTAACCAAATGAATGGGTCATCTTTGCCCCCCCCACTTATATAAAACATAACCGGTAATACTTACTACATTCCCAAATACATACAAATACTTACTACATTCCCAAATACATTGTTAGATCCTGAGTTGCCACCATGTTGTTTTAATTATTGTAGTGTTATGTTTGGTATATCAGGAATGCTGTGGTTTGAAAAATGTATACTTTTGATCCTGTATTTTTCGTAAATTCTTCACAAGAGCTTGTTTTAAATAGATACCTTTTGAGAATCTTTTGAGAATCTAATAAAGATTTTGATCTTTAGTTTATTAATACATTTCATATCAATCACAATAATGGATTTCTGGAATAAAACCTACTTTACCTTCATATTTTTTTTTTTCTTCCTTTAATGCAGGTAGGAATTGATTTACTAATTCATTGGGATTTTTGCAATAGTAATGAAACGGCGTTGGTCTGTGATTTTTTTTTTTCTGTTCCTGGGCTATTTTCGTCAGATTTTGGTTTCAGTGTTTTATTTGGTGTCAGCCTTAATAAAATAAACTGGCAGACCGCCATTTTTCTCTCTGCTATGGAAAGTTTAAAGAACTTAGTACCTTGAAGGTTCTGGGCTTGTACCTTCTCAGAGAGAGAATCTTGGTTTATTGGTCAAAGTCTATTTTATGCTCTCTCATCATTTATTTTTACTGATATCTTTCTCTTAAAATTTGTTAGTATATTTTCAACTCTGGTTAGTTTATTTCCTTTCAGTCTTTAATAACATACATTTAAGGTATGAATTTTTCTGTATATGTTCTGATTTTGATATATATTTTAATTTTCATTATTTTCTAAATCTCAGATTTTAGTTTGAATTTCTATTTACCCTGGAATTTCTTTCTTTTTTTTTTTGAGACAGTCTCACTTTGTCTCCCAGGCTGGAGTGCAGTGGTGCCATTGCAGCTCACTGCAGCCTCCACCTCCCGGGTTCAAGTGATTCTCCTGCCTCAGCCTGCTGAGTAGCAGGGATTACAGGCGTGTGCCACTATGCCCGGCTAATTTTTGTATTTTTAGTAGAGACAGGGTTTCACCGTGTTGGCCAGGCTGGTCTCGAATTCTTGACCTCAGGTGATCCACCCACCTTCGCCTCCCAGAGTGCTGGGATTACAGGTGTGAGCCACCTCACCCGGCCAATTATTAAGGCATATAAAAACATGAGTGAATTTTATGTTTAGACTTGGTCCCCATTCCCAAGATACCTCATTATGTATATACAGATATTCCAAAATTTGGAAAAATTTGAAATCTCAGCCACTTCTGATCCCAAGTGTTTCGGTTGAGGAGTAGTCAACGTATACTTTTTTGTGTGTGTGTGTTTGTGTGAGACAGGGTCTTGCTGTTGCCGAGGCTGGAGTATAGTAGCACGATCTTGGCTTATTACATCCTTGACCTCCTGAGTTCAAGTGATCCTCCCACCTCTGCCTCCCAAGTAGCTGGGACTACAGGCACGTGCCACCACACCTGGCTAGTTTTTGTATATTTTTTGTAGAGATGGAGTTTTACCATGTTGCCCAGGCTGGTCTTGAACTCCTGAGCTCAAGGGATTCTCTCCGCTTGGCCTCCCAAAGTTCTGGGATTACAGGTGTGAACCACTGTGCCCAGTGCAGTCTGTGTACTTAAGAATATTTATTCTCTGCTGAGTGTGCAGAGTTCTAAATATGTCACCTAAATCAAATCTTTAAAGGTAGTATTCCAATCCCTAATTTTCTTATTTATTTTTGCTACCTAACTTGCTGTTTTCTGAAAGTTTTGTGTTAAAATCTCCCAGATGCCGGAGGGTGATGCTAGCATATGGCCATTCCTGTTCTATGAGTACCTAAGGCAAGATGCCTGAGGTGAAATAGCTCAGAGTTGTGCTTCCCCAGGCAAAGGAGGGGGCTGGGTGTGTCCTTTCTGGGGATAGCCAGTGATTGGTCAGCGAGGCCCCTCATGTTAGGTGGCTGATTGCCTCTGTTTGTCTGCCAAAGACTGGCTGATTCTCTCAGCTAGCAGTAGGTTCAACTTCATCCTGGTAAGAAGGGTACGTAGGCTCAGTTACTACAGCATGTGCTTGAGGTGTAATCTTCTAGGGCTGTTTGTGTCAAACAGCGTCAGGGCTGGAAACTGACTTCCAGCAGGTGGGTGATTTTAAGGCCTAGAAAGGATGTGGATAATTGTTGATAGCATCCAGCCCCTAGATACTGATATCCTTTGTGTTGAGCATGTCTGAGGCAACAAGATGAGAGGGGAAGTGGAACTGGTAGTTGCACATGGCTTCCCTTCAAGGGTTGTCTTTAATAAATTGAAGAATAGCAAAACATCACATTATTTTGGATAATTAGTTTACCAAATTCCTTCCTTCCTTCCTTCCTTCCTTCCTTCCTTCCTTCCTTCCTTCCTTCCTTCCTTCCTTCCTTCCTTCCTTCCTCCCTCCCTCCCTCCCTCCCTCCCTCCCTCCCTTCCTCCCTCCCTCCCTCCCTCCCTCCCTCCCTTCCTCCCTTCCCCGTTCCCTCCCTCTCTCCCTCTCTCTCTCTCTCTCTTTCTTTTTTTCTGACAGAGTTTTGCTCTTGTTGTTCAGGCTGGAGTGCAGTGGCACCATCTCGGCTCCCTGCAACCTCTGCCTCCTGGGTTCAGGCAATTCTCCTGCCTCAGCCTCCCAAGTAGTTGGGATTACAGGTGCCCGACACCATGTAATTTTTTTTTGTATTTTTAGTAGAGACAGGGTTTCACCATGTTGGCCAGGCTCATCTCGAACTCCTGACCTCAGGTGATCCACCTGCCTTGGCCTCCCAAAGTGCTGCAATTACAGGCGTGAGCCTGGCCTAGTTAACCAAACTTCAAAAAATACTAGTATGTGGTCAGTTCCTTAGTATCTGGCCAATGGAAGAGGTGAGAGACATAAATAGTGTGAAATACTGAGCAGCACACTAAAATGTTGTGAAATACTGAGAAGCATATAATTTTTTTGAATGATTTTCTTTAGATATTGGAACGTGAGTGTATCAGACATTTGTCGAATTGTAGAATTTCATTCTACAGATAATATAGTATCACCCTCAAGATATGACTGAGTAATGCAGGGATGAGAGGTAGGGTAGTGCTTTACTTTTTCTTTTCTGTATCCCTGCTTAGAATTTGACAAAAATCCCGTGGTAAAAGTAAACTTAGAATTTGACACAATACAAATGTCAGCTTAAAGGTCTATTGTCTGTGTTTGATGTTTGAAGGAAACCAAGTGTGAATCCAACAAAGGATTTAAGAATAGGTGATAAGGCCGTGCATGGTGCCTCACGCCTGTAATCCCAGCACTTTGGGAGGCCAAGGTGGGCGGATCACGAGGTCAGGAGATCGAGATCATCCTGCCTAACATGGTGAAACCCCATCTGTACTAAAAATACAAAAAATTAGCCAGGTGTGGTGGTGGGCGCCTGTGGTCCCAGCTACTCGGAACGCTGAGGCAGGAGAATGACGTGAACCCGGGAGGCAGAGCTTGCAGTGAGCTGAGATCACACCACTGTACTCCAGCCTGGGTGACAGAGCGAGACTCTGTCTCGGAAAAAAAAAAAAATAGGTGATAAAATGAAAGAAAGATTTGTTGTGGTTAATCTGCCTGGAACAAAGGATTAGATATTGAATTATCTATTTTTTTTTTTTTTTTGAGATGAAGTCTCTTTCTGTTGCCCAGGCTGGAGTGCAGTAGCATGATCTCAGCTCACTGCAACCTCTGCCTTCTGGCTTCAAGCGATTCTTGTGCCTCTCAGCCTCCCAAGATTACAGGTGCATGTCACCACACCCGGCTAATTTTTGTATTTTTTGTAGAGATGGTGTTTCACCATGTTGGCCAGGCTAGTCTAGAACTCCTGACCTCAAGTGATCCACCCGCCTTGGCCTCCCAAAGTGCTGGGATTACAGGCGTGAGCTACCACACCCGGCTGAATTAGCAACGTACTATCTTTTGGCATTCGTTTTTTGAAAATTAGCTTTTGAGAACCTACTGCTTGATAGTTTCCTTCTGATTATTCTTGGTTTTTTTTTTTGAGATATACTATGAGCATTTAATTTCAAGGTTGAAAACTTAAAAGTAAGCCAGTTTTTCATATTCTTGTAAGACGTTTGAAGATTGCTTGTGTTAATGTCTTCACATAACTTATTTTCATTTATTGACATTATGTTTCTACAGCTATTCATTAGAACACACAGTGCAATTTCTTAACTGTGTTCTTGAAGGGGACCCTGTAAAAACAGTTGTAGCCCAAGAGTTTGTTCACCAAAATGAGAATGTCACATCTCATACTGGCCAGAAGTCTAAAGAGAAAAAGGTATGGAGTTACTAATTTTTTTTCTATAAGGGTAGATAATTGCATATAAAAATGTAATTGGTTCATTGAGTATAATAATTTAATGATTATTTCTCACCATTTTGACTAGACTGGAAATTTAACCACCAGTGGCATATTTGGCTTATAATATCTGTGCACTCAAAATAATGAATTTATAGCTGATGCTTTTCTTCGTGTGCATGAAAAACAGGCACTTGAATTTCTGCAACTTCTGTATACTCTGACACAGTAGAGTATGAGGTTTAATTGAATAGCAGTAATATGATGGGTCTTGAATATAAACATGTGGGCAGAAATATTTAGCCTTTTGGGAAAGTGCCAAATTTTTTCCCTAAGTGGCTCCTCCATTTTATATTTCCACTAGAGTTGTATGAGGGTTACAATTTCTCCACATCCTCACTGACACGTATTATTATTTAACACCTGTCTTTTTTATTATAACCATTGTAGTGAGTGGGAATACCCAGGATTTGTTTTAAGAATACCCAGGATTTGGTTTAATCAGATGTGGTAAGACATGGAGACATGGAAGTGTCAGAAAGGAAGTTTATCATACTCACAGAGTTCTGGAAAAAGGAGGTATGGATTGCTACCCAAGGCCACATGGAGAGCCAACAGGATTGGTCAGGAGGCAGAAGGAGTAGGGGGAAATGTGGGCAAAAGCCTGTATTTTGGTTTCTATGGGAAGGAATCAGTAAGGTAGGGTAAGCAGGTTTAGGATTGGCTAGTTTAAATAATTTCAGTAGGCTCTGGGGCATAGGGACTTCCCCTGGTTGTCTGGTACTTGGGGCAGGTGGATAGTGCCCGGAGTGGGAGAACCCCATTAAAGGAGGAAGTTGGAGGCATAGATTCCGGATTGGTTGGTTTGCAAATGAAAGGCATGCTCCCAGACAGGTGTTTGTTATCTCTAGGAATTAGCTAAACCTGAGGAGGTTGTGAGAGTGGATGGAGATGAGGGGGCAGAGAGAGCAGCCTCTCTAGTGTCTCGAAGGCTGCAAAAATGCCATGGTTAATACAGAAGTGGTATCTTATTGTGGTTTTGATTTGCATTTCCTTGATGACTGTTGATGTTGAGCATCTTTTTATGTGCTGTTGGTCATTTGTATACCTTTGGAGGAATGTCTGTTCATATCCTTTGCCTATTTTTAAATTGGGTTATTTGTCTTTATTGTTGAGTTGTAAGTGTTCTTTATATATTCTAGATACAAGTCCCCAATCAGACATGTGATTTGCAGATATTCTGTCCTGTCCATAGGTTGCTTTTTCACTCTGTTGTTTCTGTTGTGACACTGAAGTCTTTTAAATTTGATGTAATCTAGTTTGTCTACTTTTGCTATGTTGCCTGTGCTTCATTGCCAAATCCAATCTTATGAACTTTCCTCCTGTATTTTCTCTAGGAGTCATAGTTTCAGGCCTTTCATTTAGATCTTTAATCCATTTTGAGTTAATTTTTGTATATGTAGTGAGACAGAAGTTCAAGTTGATTCTTTCGCATGTGGATATCCAGTTGTTTTGTACCATTTGTTGCAAAGACTGTTCTTTTCCCATTGAATTTTCTTGGCACTCTTGTTGAAAATGAATTCACCATAATTGTAAGGATTTATTGTTGTACTCCTAATTCTATTCCATTGATCTGTATGTCTATCCTATTGCCAGTACCACTTATCTTGATTACTGTGGCTTCTTGATTACTGTGGCTTTCTAGTAAGTTTTGAAATTGGGAAGTGTGAGTCTTCCAACTATGTTCTTTTTTTTTTTTTTTTTAAGAGATTTTGGCTATTCTGGTGCCCTTGGATTTCCATGTGAATTTTAGGATTAGTTTGTGAATTTCTGCACAGAAGCCAGCTAGAATTTTGATGGGGTTTGTGTTGAATATGTAGACCAATTTGAGGAGTATTGCCAATTAACAATATTAAATCTTTCAACTCATGAAATGGAGTATCTTTCAGTTTATTTAGGTCTTCTTTAATTTCCTTCAACAATGTGTTATAGTTTTCAGAGTATAAATTTTGCACATCTTTTGTTAAATTTATTTCTAAATACAGTATTTTATTCTTTTTCATGCTATTATAAATGTAAATGGAATTATTTCTTTTGTTTGTTTTCTTTCTGCTCTGGAATTACGCCCCTTTTAAAAATTTACTTTATTTTTTGATATTACTTTTAAATTAAAAAGAGATGAGGGTCTCGCTATGTTGCCCAGCCTGGGTTCAACTCCTGGGCTCAAGCAATCCGCCCACCTCAGCCTCCCAAAGTGCTAGGATTACAGGCTTGAGCCACCGCACCTGGCCTGGAATTATTCATTAATTTTATTTTTGGATTGTTTATTACAAGTACATAGACATGCAGTTGTGTTTTTTGTATTAATTTTGTATCAGCATTAGGCTTTTTTTTTTTTTGAGTCAGAGTCTCATCTCACTCTGTTGCCCAGGCTAGAGTGCAGTGGTGTGATCTCAGCTCACTGCAACCTCTGCCCTCTGAGTTCAAGCGATTCTCCTGCCTCAGCCTCCTGAGTAGCTGGGATTACAGGTGCCTGCCACTGCGCCCAGCTAATTTTTTGTATTTTTAGTAGAGATGGGGTTTTACCATCTTGGCCAGACTGGTCTTGAACTCCTGACCTCATGATCCACCTGCCTCGGCTTCCCAAAGTGGTGGGATTACATGCGTGAGCCCCCATGCCTGGCCTAGCATTAGGCTTTTTTTTTTTTTTAACAGAATTTTTTTCTTTTTTTTTTCTTTGAGACAAGAGTCTTGCTGTGTCACTCAGGCTGGAGTGCAGTGGCAGGATCACATCTCAAGTGATCCTCCCATCTCCCCCTCCTGAGTAGCTGGGACTACAGGCACGAACCACCACACCTGGCTAATTTTTGTATTTTTTGTAGAGGTGGGGTTTTGGTTGCCTAAGCTGATCTCGAACTTCTGGGCTCAAGTGATCCACCTCGGCCTCCCAAAGTGCTGGGATTACAGGTGTGAGCCACCACGCCCAGCCTTATTTTTAAATTTTATTTTATTTTACAGAACCTTATCATCCTGCAATTCTTATTAATAAAACCCCTCAGGGGTAAATTATATGCTCCCTTTTTTCTTTGAATGTTTCATTGTCAGTCAGTTGGTATTTAGGACTTAGGTAATTTTTATTTTCATTTGATCTGTTAGTGCTACCACCGATGCCTTTGCCCAACTGGAAAATATGCTGCCGTCATGGATAGATAGATGCAGTATATTATAAAATGCAGAGAGTGTACACAAGATGATTATGAGACCTTATGGGCCAAATTGGCAGTGAAGTTACTTCTCCCTCCTGATAATATGCAAGGCACTGTGAGTCATTATGGTAATAGGGGGTGATAAGAAGGTGTGCTTGCTCAAAGTGGGAGATGATTGGAAATGTAATCAGAAAGAGGGTTTTTGTGAGTTATGTAAACGTTGGCCAAAATGTAAACTTTAAGTTATTCTGGGAATTATTTTTGCACTTATTCTCTTAAATTATCATCTTTAGTTTCAAAACTCAGACCACCAGTGAACAATTTTTTCTATTGCTTTGGTTCCTTTGAGTCATGATCCTCCTCTCCCTGGCGCTGGTGGCAACGGCTGGAGTTGGGCTGGGGGCGACCGGATGGTGGCTTTACCTCCATTTTGAGACCGGACTTGCCTCTTCCAACTCAGAGTTTAATATCCCTAATTGTATTTTGATAATTTTAGAGAACTCTTCAACATCTCCTAAGAGTGGTTAAAGAAAGGGTAACCTTAATGGCATAAAAAAGTTCATGATAGTCTATAAAATGCCTGACTTATAAGGTAGACACCAGGGAGAATCTGTTTCCTGAGGAGAGAGATGAAAATATACGAGAGCCCAGTTTTCACATGCGTTTTGTGAAGGTGTAAAGCGTGAGTTTTTTTTTTTTTTAACTTTCTGTGTGTGTTACTTATTGTTTAATATCTTATAGCCAAAGAAATTAAAAGAGACTGAAGAAACACCAAGCGAACTGTCTTTCCAGGACTTTGAGTACCCAGACTATGATGACTACAGAGCAGAGGCTTTCCTTCACCAGCAGAAGAGGATGGAGTGCTACAGCAAGGCCAAAGAAGCATATCGGATAGGGAAGAAAAATGTCGCCACCTTTTATGCCCAGCAGGTAAAGTGGAAAAATGATTATATATTTTTTGTTTGTTAGTTATAATAACTAAATAATCTTGAAGCAGATAACACCCATATTGTGACTAGATTAAGTTATTCTGAGGAACGTAGTAGTTGTATAAGTGACATAAATAAGGTATCCTAAGAAATGTATGGTTCTGAGAATTTCATCTGCTGTTTTGAGCATTTGAAATGCTCAGTTTCTGTGATTGTTTTGCATTTACTGCTTATGTGAATTACGGTTTGTTCTGACAGTCCCTATTTCTGGCAGCAGAATATTAATATTGGCCATCTCAATGCGATTAAAGGGATTTTGTGCCTTCTATGATGTTTGAATTTTTAGTAATATATCACTTTCATAGTAGAAAAATAACATTAAATTTTTTAGGGAAGTAAAATTTCTTTTCTTTTTTTTTTGTGAGACGGAGTCTCGCTCTGTCGCCCAGGCTGGAGTGCAGTGGCCGGATCTCAGCTCACTGCAGCCTCCGCCTCCCGGGTTTACGCCATTCTCCTGCCTCAGCCTCCCAAGTAGCTGGGACTACAGGTGCCCGCCACCTCGCCCTGCTAGTTTTTTATATTTTTTAGTAGAGACGGGATTTCACCGTGTTAGCCAGGATGGTCTCAATCTCCTGACCTCGTGATCCGCCCGTCTTGGCCTCCCAAAGTGCTGGGATTACAGGCTTGAGCCACTGTGCCTGGCCAGGGAAGTAAAATTTCTACTTGGGCTCATTTAACATGGTATTTATAAGGAACCTGCTTTTCTTTTCTTTTCCTCCCCTCCCCTCCCCTCCCCTCTCCTTTCCTTTCTTTTCTTTCTTTTCTTTCTTCCTTTTTTGTAAGGTCTTGCTTTGTTGCCCAGGCTTGGAGTATAGTGATGCAATCTCGGCTCACTGTAGCCTTGCCCTCCTGGGCTCAGGTAGTCCTCCCATGTCAGCCTCCCAAATAGCTGGGACTACAGGCACGCGCCACCATGCCCAGCTAATTTTTGTATGGGGTCTTACCATGTTGTCCAGCTTGGTTGCGAACTCCTGAGCTCAAGCAATCCTCCCATCTCAGCCTCTCAAAGTGCTGGGATTACAAGTGCAAGGTACCACTTCCAGCCAGGAATCTGCTTAACTTTTTATGTTTGCGTTTCCATATGGGTTACTTCTTTGTAATTGAGCAGAGAAGAGTATCAGACTGCTATAGGCCTGCGAACCCTAACAGTAGTCCTTGGGGGATAGCTTCTGGGGTAACTACAAGATGTTGAAAGTGAACGCCAAGACGAGACCTAGCATTATCAAAGGATACACAAATAATAAACCAGTGGTTCCTTCTTGAGATGGTGTATTAGAGTTCTCTAGAGAGGCAGACCAGTGGGATATATGAAAGAGAATTTATTAGGGGGAATTGGCTTTCACAGTCACAGAGATGGAGTAGTCTCATAATAGGCCAGCTGTAAGCTAGAGAACCAAAGAATTCGATAGCCTGGCTTAAAGCCAGGAGTGTAGCACAGTCGAAGTTCAAAGCCTCAGAACCAGGGATACTGACTGCAGCCGCCAGTCCAGGGCCAAAGGCTCAAGAGCCGCCGAGAGGTAGCTGGTGCAGGTCCCACAGTCTAAAAGCTGAAGAATGTGGCTGGTGCAGGTCCCACAGTCTAAAAGCTGAAGAATGTGGAGTCTGAATTCCAAAGGCAGGAGGAGAACATCTGTCTGTTTGTCCTAGCCAGCCCTCAGCTGCCCACATGGTTGGTGCCTGCCCGCATGGAGGGGAGGTCTTCTTTCTGTCCACTGACACTCAAGTCAGTCTTCTCTGGAAACATCCTCACAGGCACACCCAGAAACAGTGCTTCACCGGCCATCTAGGTATCCCTCAGTCCAGTCAAATTGATACCTAAAATTAACTGTCTCATATGGGGAATCGTGTTAAGTTTCCCACTTTTACGACTTTTGGTTCAGAAAATGTTAGAAAGAATGACTCAGTAGTTTAAGGATTACATTATTTTTTATTTTTATTTTTGTTTTTTTTTTTTGAGACGGAGTCTCGCTGTGTCTCCCAGGCTGGAGTTCAGTGGCGCGATCTCGGCTCACTGCAAGCTCCGCCTCCCGAGTTCACGCCATTCTCCCGCCTCAGCCTCCGAGTAGCTGGGACTACAGGCGCCCGCCACCACGCCCGGCTAGTTTTTT